TTCACGATAAAGGCATGTGAGTAGTGGATAACGCGTAAAACACGTGATAAATGCGCAACTCTCGAAGCCGCACTCTTCTTTCCGCATTTAGTTATCATTCCGCTAACGTAAAAAACCCAGGGAAGATTTTCCGTCAATTTTTGATTAATTTTCACAAACCCAGTATACCACATCGGACCAACCTTATCCATCTCTCCCTCGCATCTTGGATCCATCCGATGCTCAACAGCTCCAATGACGAGCTCCTCTTGATTCTATTGGGGAGGAGTCGACGTTGATTCAAAGCGGTCAAGCTTTGCGTTCTGAGCGAGCTCATCACTGTGTTGGAGTAGGAATATATTTTCCCTTTCCTCGACTGAGCTCCGGAGTTTCCTCACGGATTTTACAAGTTTACATACGAACTCGGGTAGAAATGTATAGAACCCAGCGACAATTTCCCAAGATTTCCTCCTAGAATTTCCATATTGTCACTAAACATGTGCATATTTTCCCCCTATACTGAGCTAATGAGCAAGCAAATACTCACAGAGGCTTCGGCAAAGGCTCTAGCCCTTTAACTGTCTCCGGCGACGACAACATTGCCTCGAAATCATCCAATTGTCTCAGACCAAATCGTGCGGTGGTCATCTCCAACAACTTGAAACCAATCTAAACACGGCTCAGGTTCAATTCCCAGCAGAGCTACTTTTCCCACCAAATTTGTATCCGGATCAAACTCCATAACTCTCGTCATGAATGTCACATTTTCACTCATTGGTAGCAGCAAAATAATAACATCCTCCTGAAAAGCATCCTCAGCCAACACGTCCAATGGCCGTTAACTTACCAGATTCATCTGCGGTGTGCGTGAGTCAACTCCAACCTTATCAATTATACTCCTCAAGTGGACCACGGCGAACCCCTCCTGTTCATTAACAAACCTGAAGCTCAGAACCCGTCAGAATAAAACTCAATGAAAACTTAAGATTATTTTACAATCATGTTTTATAATATTTTCTCCCCAGACGAATAGACATAGTGCAGGGCTATCCTACATCGATATGAAACCATCATAAGGTATTTACTGTCAGCAATTTCCTCCTTTTCAGCGTCACAAGATGAAAGCGTCCAAAAATTCAAATCATATATCTCTATACAAGTATCCTCCCCTCCCTCCACGACCACCAGCCTCTTACCATCTTTTCCTCACCACAACTTCCCTCCTTCTCATAGTCAACTTCATCTTCACCGACGCTCTCACAATTGAAGAGAACGGCGTTGTCTCCTGAACACAACCTACGCTCAGGGTGGGAGGGGAAATATGCACATGGTCAGCTACATGTGCCGCTGATCATATGTAAATTCGCAGTGAATTTCGGAAATTCTTTCTGGTTTGCGTCTACTTCTTCCTGTAATTATTGAGGAAACTCCTTAAACTCAGCTGATGAAATCGAGCATATATCATTTTTACTCCAACACTGCCCCCCCTTCACCTCAACTGTCAACACCTCCGCTCTGGAGGGGAACGCGATCTCATCAATTGCTATGCATGTGGTGAGGAGGTCGGAATGTAACAGACATGACAGCCTCGTTTTCAAACTCCTCCCACGACATGGTTTAACCCTACAGAAAAAAATATGCACATCATCAACTACATGGGTTGGTGAACAGTGTTCGAATATATGTTCACTTTCTTCTCAAGAAATTCCTCGTTGGTCATAATAATCGGGGTAGAAGTGAACAATGGCCAATAAAAATCTCACCAAATTTCCTCACAAATTTCATTTTCTCCTTTCTCCACACTATTGGTGAGTCACCAATGGTGACAGTGTGAAAATTCTGAAGGAAATTTGAGAAAACTCTGGTGTAAAGCGAGAAAACCACTGAGCTCGGCTGAGAAGAGCAAACATAAATACCTCCAACACTGTATAGGGAACTCCTCAACTCACATCCAGACATAATCGATTATTCGGGCGCGCGCTACTTGCAACAGGCCTATTCCCATCCCACTCACCAAACATTCGCCTTCCCTTCCTCCCTCCTCCCCCTCAATTCATACCCTCTATCATCACTCAATTTCAACAGTAAATTATCCACCTCATCCGTAGCGGCCCCGAGCCGATCAAACACTGCATGTTTGTAAATCTGTCATCGTCAATTACCCTCACGCGCCACGAAATTCCCCCCAAAAATTACTCTCTCACTCGAAGAA